TATAGCTAGGAACTGGAAACACAGGGAATCCAGGGCAGATGACCCCTTCAGGACCAGTGGTGTACCAGGTCTTTTAAGACGCTATCTGATCTGTTTCCAGTTTCACATAGCAAATTAGGGTTCGTTCCAGGCTCTTTTAGATCAGTTTCTCAGAGCAATCCTGGCTCCTGGGTGGTGCTGGAATGATCCAGGTGGAGCTGCAAAAGCAGATTCCCACTCTTCCTCCTGGAGGATGGGCTAGAGTACAAACGTTGCTAATTGCTAGGGAGACGGCATAATTTAAATAAGTTTGGGAAACTATCTGCTAGATGGTAGTGGGGTCCCCCTTAGCTTCTGTGGGATTAGCTCTTTTAAGCCTAGCAAAATGCCCAACTGACCAATCCGCACAGCCACTTTGTATGGAATTTGCACTTATTTGCAGACTAACCAATCAATCTGTGTAGGACGGTAGCAAATTATAGGCTAACCAGTCAATCCCTAGTAAATGATCTCAGAACTACAAACCAAGGCCAGATTCAGAAAAAGCTGTTGTCCTGGGGCAGAGGAACTGGAAGTACTTTGATAAACATTGAAGTTTGGTAGCTGATCCACTTCAGATTAATCTGACAGCCCCACGCTGACTGTCCCTGCGCCAAAATTCGTTCTGCTAACAGTAACGGGACTGGAATTCTTGAAAAGTAAACACGCAAGTCCTTTATCACTTGTCTTTGTCCGTGCGATTGCCTCTACCTAGGAACCCGTCATCTCGCAGAAACAGCGTCTACCTGTGTAGGCCACAGATCACAAAACCGCCTTGCATTATGCGTATTTCACTTAGCAAATACTCACTGCCGACTGTTCTAGGAGCTGCTCTCTGGTTGGGCGACATCTGTGAGTAAGACAGGGCCTCCGCCCTCAGAATTACATGCTAGTGGGGAACTCAGAAAGGAACAAAGACACTGTGTGTCAGGTCTTAGAAAACACAACATTCATACATACTCCTATTGAAGTATAAGCCAAAAAGTCCCGTGAGGTCTTCCAAATCCCTGTCCTCACGTAGCAACTTACACTTAGATGCTTACATTTTTTTAATCGTTAGCTTTCATACCATCAAGTATTAAGAACAGAAGCTGAATTCCAATTCAACAATATGAAGCCTTTGCTACCTTTCATCCTATACCTTTGTAGTCTGCAGAGAATGACAAAGGTCAGAGATCACTGACCTATACTTTCACTTAAGATCTTTTCTTCTGGCCAAACTTGGCCCATCCACCCCTTAAACTTTTTATCACGAATTAGGTGGGGGTTTACATTTCAGATCATGTTTACATTCCACAACTTAGACAACCTATCAAGCTTGCCCTGCTTCCCCACCCCCTTTTCCTCTTCTCCCACTTGTAGAATATTATCTTCCCCTTTACCCAAGGTAACACCTGTGCACCTTCTAGCCTATTGCTTCCTCTCCCCAGCCTCTCCCCCTCACACCTGTGGTAATCACCAGTCTGTTTCTTTTGGATAAAGAACCCTTTATGTGGATTTTTTATAACAATGGTCTCTTAATTTCATTTGCTTGAAGGAACTTCACTTAGCATATGCTCCAAATCCACCCACATCACAAGGCGTGTATTTCATCATTACTCTCAACTGACGCTAATCTCCCATTGTGTGTCGATACCAGGGGCGTTTTGGCTGCGTCCCTCTTGCTATTGTGAATTGTACTGGAGCAAACGTGAGTGTGCACGAATCTGTTCTGGCAATGGCTCTATTTCTTTAGGGGACGCACCAGATAGAGGGATCGCTGGTCAGACGGTACTGCTACTCCCAGTGGTTCGAGGAAGCGCCACACTCCTTTCCACAGTGGGTAGGCAGGTGTACAGTCCTATCAGCAGCGCATGAAGACTCCAATCTCTCCAGCACGTCATTTCCTGTATCGATGCCAATGTGAGGTAGCACGTTATTTTGATTTGCATCTCCTGAATGCCTACTGCTCCTGAGCACCTCTTCATAGGCACACAGAAACGCCGGCAGTGGTCTAGGGGTGAGAGCAGGCTCTCGGTGGGAATCCTGGGTCTACATGGTGAAGCTGCTAGCACCGAACGCTTGTCATCAGGAAAGTTGTTAATGTGAAGCCATTGAGTACTTGGCATACAGTGAATCCTTAATAATATTAACTATTATTACAATTATTATAGGGTGGGAAACGCTTGATTTTTTTCAAGGATCAATGAATATCCCTATGAAAATATTAGATATTTCAGGGATCTTCTGAATGAGTAGTTGGAAAGGCCTTTAAAAAAATTATAGTTTCATCATTGAAAACAAAACATTTAATGTAAAGAATCCAGAAAAGATGCTAACATTCCTCCAACCAGATTTATTGAATATAATTAATTCTACAGTCATCATGACATGCTGCTACACACGAGCCTTTCTCACCAATACTGTGATAGGTTAGTCCACAGAGCGCCCCCAAAGCAGCTTACTCTGAAATAAACAGCAAAACATCCAAAGTCTTAAAAGCCTGCAAGTAGCCGCCTAATACACAACTATTGGTCTCTTCCCATCTGGAGCAAAGGGGGTTGAAGAAAGTCAAAGACGAAAGCAAACTATTAGTCCAAAGGACTGTGCCACATCATCTACTCTCCTGAAACTAGAACAGGATGCAGCCTGTTACCTCTAGCGGCTCTGACCGGGATTACAGAAGAGAAAAATGTAGGACAAAATCCAAATTCAGACTTGCTGGTCTGATAAGGGCTTGGTGGAATCCTGAGGCTGGCCTTAAAACACCTTTTCAATTTGAAAACTGAGCTCACTATTGGAGAAGGTTCACCATACAGCCAAATTAAAAAATCCAAAACAAACTCAAATTCACTAACATCAGTCGATACCGACTCAGGGTGACCCTGTAGGACAGTGTAGAACTGCCCGTGAGTTTCCGAAACTATAATTCCCGATAGGAGCAGCTGGCCTCACTTTACTCCCATGGAGCAGCTAATAGGTTTGAACTGCTGTTGTGAGGTTTGAATTGCAGTGATCAGCCCCACGCTTAACCTCTCCACCGCCAGGCTTGCCCACAGCTGAACAATAATAGGCTGGCCTGTAGGCTGGGGTGAAGAGTAAGTAACACCAAGGGGGAACGTGCTCCTTGGCCTTCAACCCCAAGAGATCGAAAGGGCAGCATTTGCCCCAAAGCAAAATTCCAAAGGCAGAAGGGGCAGGCAAGCTGGGGAATGGAAATGGGGTGGGAGTGGGGAGAGGGATGTCGTGAGACGTGGCATAAATCGTCCAATGGGAAAGGAACTTGCGTTGTCGGCTTTCACCTAAACCACAAGGAAATGTTCAAAAGCGTGAAGGAAAATGCCCAGTACACATGCCACGGCCTAACTGCTGGAATTTAGTAGTTGTAGGAAACAGAAGTCAGATCATGTCAGGGTGGAGAGTGATCTGTCAAGAAGCCATTTTGTGCACTGCCACCGTGATGCCGTCGTGTTTCTGGATCATAATGTTCCTGAAAGACAAAGCAGAGGCATTTGCTAGAGCTGCACCGCTGGGAGCCAGCATGAGGCTAACTGCGCCCCCACCCCGCCGCCCCCGCGCTGTGGCGCAGAACTACTCATCAGTCTTCAACGTGACTTTTGAAAAAGCCGATGGCCCTGCTTTTCTTGCAAGGTTCCTCTGGGTAGATTTGAACCTATGAGCTTGTAGTTAGCAGCTGGGGACGTGACCCTTTCCCACCACCTGGGCACTCCAAAACCCAAAGCAAACTCGGTGCCAGAGTTGATTCCGACTCACAGGACAGAGCAGAACTGCCTGGTTCTGCATTTCTGCAGTTGTAAAGCTTCACGGGAGCAGGAAGCCTCACCTTGTGCCCTCTGGGTGGCTCAGTGGTTAGCAGCCCAACCTGCAGTCCACTATGCTTGATGCCAGGGCTCCTTCACGTGGGGACCACGTACAATTGTAGACACTTGGGGGCTGTGTACTATGAAAAAGTATTTACCATTTTTCTAATATTACCAGTACAATATTTGTTTTATTTGTACAGTAAAAGATTGGGAAAATACAGAAAAGTATTAAACAAAAATGAAATCCCATAATCCTACCACCCAGAGGCAACCACTATTAACATTTTCCTAGTTCTTTATCTACATGTATACTATACACGCATTCCTCAGTTGTCGACTGTCTCATTACCCAGGATTTTGCATTAAGACCACTGTAAAACATCCACTATCCGACTGCTCCGTGCATCGAGGCAGTGGGCATGGTGGGAAGGGTCGCGTGTCTCCAGGGTCCTCTGAGAAGCTGGGCTGCACTGCCTTCCACTTTTGCCGCTTCCGGCCAGCAGGGTGCCATTTCGGTACCCACGGTCTCCAGGCGAACACGTAAGCAGCACAGAGCCACTGGGCTCCTGCTCTGGGTTCCCAGCTCCTTTCGGACCTGAAGCCGTACAGCTCAGATTTGGGGTTTGGGTGGGTGGGGGATTAGTGGAGAAGAGGCGTCGGAGACAAGAATCTACAGGGACATGATGTGAGTTTAACAACACCTCAAAGCCTGCTAACTGGGTCTGAAGCCCCTGCCTCAACAGGCCCTGAAGGCAGAGCAGGCTCCTTGGTTTCAGCCACGGGGCTGCAGGGAGGGGTGGGAGTGCAGTAGGGGGAGGCACGGAGAAGAGCCCTGGAAGTGCATCCTCGAGGGATACTCTGACCCAACACAGGAGAAAGTGGAATGGGTAAGCTGGGGTCCCTCCAGTTACACAGCCAGGCTTTATCCAGCTGTGCCGTCGCCAAACCTGTCCACTGAGAGAGGACCCGTCCCTGGACCCGTGACAATGGTGAGCGCGCCACCCGAACCTGGCTGATATTATTTCTATGATCATAGTTCCTAAATTGAGAACCAGACAAATGGATGGCCTGGAAACAGAAAACAAAACGCCCCGCCTTTTTCACACAACGGCCGGGTCTTTGGAACCTAACCATGTTAAGTGAGGAGTGGGTGTACATACACTTTCTCTGTGTGTGACCCTGTCACACTACATCATCTGCCTTCACTCAGTGTTGAGAACACCCTCTCACAGAGTATCTTTGGAATAGCCTCTTCCTACTCAAGTGTTTTGTTCTTTGATTCGTCTTCCTCTCGTTGGGTAGATGGTAGCGCTTCAGACAGTAAAACCTGTGTAAGGCACAAACCTGTCCAGAAGGGAAACTCAGCTATTGTCTACTAAAACGAGTGACAGAAAAAAGGGGAGACTGCACCCTAAGGTGGAAAACTTGTGAGACCCAGCAAAGAAGGCGGCCCCACCTCCCTGCCCCGCTGTGATTCAGACTCTCCCTTCCACGGTCATGCATGAAGCAGGATGGGCTCGACGGCAGTGAGCGTCATCTAGTCTGGTTTTGCGGTAGCTTCATTTGAAACACATTCCTTTTAGAGACCAACGTGTCTGCCACTGTGTGGTCCACAGAGCCCCCTTCAAAGTGCTTTCACAAAGTCTGTCTCTGCTAGATCAAAGCCACCATCAGGACTTGGAATGAGGAGCCAGTGATGATCCCAGGGCAGCCCCATCCCGTTCCCCGGAGGCTTCTCGGTTGACACCCACTCACCCGTTATCTGACTCGAGACACACCACGGGGATATCAGTGGGGTCAGAGGTTAGCTTAGCTGCTTGCTGGGCTAATACAGATATCACTCCAGCATGCTCATCCGACAGGGTCCCACGGCCTGGAAGACAGAGATAGCTTGTTACCTCCTCATCCAAACATGGGCAAGAAGTACTTCCTGTTGATTTGCTTAAAAATAGATGGTTCAGCCCCTGGTTGAGGTGGCTGTGTAGGTGCCGCAGTCAGTTCTGATTCACCTCAATCCATTGTACAACAGAATGGAACACCTCTGTGCCATCCTCTCAGGGCACAAGGGTGGTTATGTTTATGCCCAATGTTGCTAACGTGAAATGCTTTCAACCTGACAATCAACTGATTAGATCAGTGACAGATCCACCCACCTGTCCTTGTGATCAATGGATAACATGTTAACACTCAGTTTTCAAAGTCAGTCCAATCGTCTCTAATCACCTTTTCCGAGATATAAAACTCAACAACAACAACAACACAAACGCGCTTCCACAGAGTCCACTCTGACTCATAGCGACCCTAAAGAACAGGGAGAGCTGCCCCGTGAGCTTCTGAGGCTGTCACTCTTTACGGGAGTAGAGAGCTCCATCTTGCTCCAGAGGTGCAGCTGGTGGTTTTGAACTGCTGACTTCGAGACTGTCGGCCCAAAGTGTAATCAGTACACTGCCAGGGCTCCTTCCAAGATACAAAGGAGTGGTAATTTAAGTGAATCTGAAAGTCATACAGTCATCTTATGTGAACTGCATGGAGACAACAAGAAACCCGGAGGTGAGGCTGACAAGAAACAGTGTGGGCAAGAGCCCTGTTGAGACCAATGAACCAATCCCTCACGGGTGGTCTGACCTCCTTTAACGGAGCTCAACCATAGAGCTTAGAACAGTCTTTACTCAGAAGTCCATAAAACCAGTGACAGCATATGCGGAAGTTCTGTGAGCGATTCTTTTGGCTATAATACAAGTAAGCTGGCTGGTTTTCAGTATCAACAGAATTGACTTCTTAATAATGTATGCCTTAGATAATAACTGAATCTTGAATTCTCAGGATAAAAAGTAACTACTAGTCTACTTGAATGCTTTGGTTATTCACCTTTCTAGATTTACTTCCTGAAGTGTAACTGTTCTCACTTACTTGAACACACTCAATATTTCTCAAGATCAAAGAGGTGAAGAAAAAAATTAAGACCTCAAGTTGCGATTTTGAAGGGTTTTATGGGAAAAACATGGAACGACTCAAGAAGGATCAGGGGAAGATGGAAAGAATACTTAGTCACTGAGCCAAATCATTAGTCAGCATGCAAGCATTCCAGGGGGCAGCACAGGAACAAGATTCCAAGATTCTAAAGGAGGAAGTTCAGGCTGCACTGAACACATTAGTAACAAACAAGCTCCAAGAATTGATGGAATGCCCAGTGAGCTGTTTCAACAAATGGACACACTGCTGGAAGCACTCACTTGCCCATGCTGACTAAAAGAAATCCATATTTGTGCCCAGCCCTAACAAAGGTGATTCAACAGTGTGTGTAAACTATTAAACGGTATCATTACTGGCACACACGAGTAAAATTCTGAAGATAATTCAAAACTGGTTACAACAGTACAACACTATGGAACTACCAGAAATTCACACTGGATTCGGAAGAAGACCTGGCGCAACACAAAAGATTTCACTTCTGATATCAGATGGTTCTTATCTGGAAGTAGAAAATACCAGAAAGATGTTTATCTTGGGTTTTTTTTGCTGTGCAAAGGCATTAGACTGTGTAGATAATAAAAATTTAGAGATAACAACAAAAACATTTAAAGCTGACATTGTGAAGAATGAGAATTCCAGATCACTTAAGGGTTGATGCAGAACTTGTACATAGACCAACATGCAATTGTTCAAACAGAACAAAGGAATACTACATTGCTTAAAACTAGGAAATGTGGGTTGTATTCACTCACTGTACCTCTTTACTCTGCATGTTGAGCAAATCATCCGAGAAGCTGGGTTCTATGAAGAACACAGCATCAGGACTGGAGGAAGACTCGCTAACCTTCAGTATTCTGTGACATACTGCCTGCTGAAAGCAAGGCCTGGAAGCACTTGCTAAGAAACATCAGAGACTACAGCTTTCCGTATGGATTGTGCCTCAAGGTAGCAAAATCAAAAACCCCCACAACTAGAGCAACAGTCAACCTTACGCTAAATGGAGAAAAAATGAAGTTGTCACTCATGGAAGCAGCAGCCAAGGAATCAAACAATATATTGCATCGGACAATACTGCTTCAAAAGACCTCTTTAAAGTGTTAAAAAGCCAACTTTGAGGACTAAGGTGTGCCTGACTCAAAGCCAGTATTTTCAGTCACCTCCTATGTATGTGAAAGCTGGGCAGTAACTAAGGACGAGGGAAGAACTGATGCCTTTGATTGCGGGGCTGGTGAAGACTGTTGGAAGTACCACGGACGGACGGTCAGAAAAACAAACAAATCTGTCTTGGAAGAAGTACAACGAGAATGCTCCTGAGATGACTAGACTTTGTCTCACGTACTTTGGACCTGTCACCAGGAGAGACCAGTCCCTGACAAAGGGCTTCACTGTTGATAGAGAGTCAGCAAAAAGGGGAAGAGAAGCATGTTAAACCTAGGTGGTGGTTGACTCTGAACTATATTATAAGAACTGTATTTCACTATCTACTCACAGTGTTTTAAGCACAGTTGACCGAATAACCCATCTTGCAGGGTTATTGTGAAAATTGGAAATAAGGTATGTAAAGCTTAGCACAGCCCTGACATGGCAAAAATTCAATAAATGATAACTGCTGTCATTATTTGGGTCCCTTCTAGATCCAAATGAAAATGATTCAAGTATGATTTAATAGAGATAAATGTTTAATGATGGGACTATAAGGTACATTTCTACTTTCCTAAATGCCAGCTGAAAAATTCCAAGTTTCTAACCTTGTTATTTGGACATAATCTCTATTCTGTTTTTTTTTTTTCATAATCTCTATTCTTACAGAAGTATCCAGAAAGTATACGTATAATAGGAAATGGTAGCTAGAGATACTCACAGCCCAGGTTCAGTCCTTGTGAATCTGTGCACAGGACGCCAACAATGGATGGATTCTTCATTCTGGTTCGAGAGTCACAGGAAGGATAAAACAAATGATGTGAGAAAATGACTTTAAGTAACTTTTAATTCATATGCTTCTGATGTGACAGACACTATCGTAGGTGCTCAAGTTGGTATTTCTCAACCTTTAACAGCAACAACAAAAAGATCCACCTAACATGCCTCCCCACTACCTCAAGAAGAAAAACGAAATTAAATTAAAATGATCAGGCAGAGCTGGTCCTGTGGTGGAATTCTCAGGGAATTCTCCATGTAGGAGAGACCCAGGTTTGATCCCCAGCCAATGCACCTCAGCACTGTCGGCAGAAGTCCTGGTGATCTATTTCTGAAAATCAGCCAAACGCAGATCCTAGAGACCACAATGGAACCAATCACGGGGAAGGTGTTGGACCAGGCAGCATTTTGTTCTAGTGTGCATGGGGTCACCCTGCGGCTATCACCAAAAATGGACTTAAATGTAACGCACGAAAAGATCTGGGCACAGACATTGTTATGCCTATGTTTTCTATCCCTGCTGAAAATGCAGGCTTTAACATATAAACCCATCCAAAACAACTGCTGCGAAACTCTTAAGTTTGCAGTAACACAGTTTGAAGTGAACACAGGTGCCTCCCACACAGGAAGAGGGAAGCGGAGGGGCCAGTGGTGAAAGTTGTTTGTAAACGTCCTTAGACTTTTCTAGTTTGGAACACATACCCACGTAGTTCTCGAGTGGACTCTGACGCACGGTCATCCCCTGGGTTTCAGAGCCGAACTGTGCTCCGCAGCAGTTTTGGGAAGCCCCAGGCCTTTCTTCCCAGGCATCTCCGGTGGCCTCAAGGCCCCCAATCTTTCCGTTAGGAGCCCAAGTTAACTGTTTGCCTCACCCAGGGGCTTTGAATCTCAAATAAACATGAGAGATTCGAGAACAATTAAGAGCTCTCTCAGCTCCCTAAGCACCAGGCTGAGTAGGGAGGCAGCCCTCCGTTGGGGACATTCTTGTATGTCTATTTACGTTTGGATTTCAGGGTTCGGCTTTATGTACCTGCACATCCTCCCCCAAAGCTATCTGCTACAGCGCTTGAAGGAGCGACCTGGTACGATCTCAACAACGTGACAGGGCGGCCTCGGGTTAGAACCCGGGTGGGGAGCCAGGGTTCAAGGGGAGGAGAGTGTTCACTCCGAGCCGCAGCCCTGCGGGCCTGCAGCTTCATGCCAGTGCCCGCGACAACTTCCCACCACTCGGGGTGCGCGCGGCTCCACCCAGGTCAGTCCTCGGGCTCCCGCCCTTCGCCGCGACCCCGGGTCCGTTCCAGCAGACTCGGCTACTCACGTGTCCTCCAGGTGCTGCTCCAAGGCCGTCTCCATCCCACCCGCGGCCCGCGAGACC